GCCCTGGTAAGGAGAAACATCTGTAACAAAAATAAATTAATTAATTAAATAAAAAAATAAAAATGTGCCCTGGTATTGACATGCATAAGATACTTTTCTAAATATATCTAGGATCCAACCACATTTTAGGGTTTATCACTTCAACACTGATCTAAACCAGTATCATCTGTCCACCTGGATTACAGCATTAACTTTGATCTGTTTTTTATCTTCTGTACTTGCCCACCCACCATTTACTCTTCATACAGCAGCCAGAATGATGTCATTCAAACATAAGTGATTTATGTTACTCATTTGCTTAGAACTTCCTGACTTTACACTTCTCTCAGAGTTCAGTTCTTACAATGGCCTGCAAAGTCCTATATCAGAGGTTCTTAGTAGGAATATTTCCGATTATCACAAAGACTAGAAAGAGGTAATAGAGTTTAGAGGTACCCCCAGAATTTCAAATATCCCATGGAATATCTATGGATTAGTGAATTATATGTATTTTATTCCTTCAATGTACTACTCTGACTGTCCCAGAATGCGTCCTCCATGTAAATTAAGGGAAAACTGGACTTTGTTTTCTGTAGAACTCTATTGAGAAAAAATCCCATCTTCATTAGCAACACTGTTCATGATATTTGAATCACCAATATAAAACACCTGTATACACTGGAAATATTGGGGGGAACACTCTGTAAAGCATGATTGCCAAACCACTATGCTGTACACCTGAAACTAATATAAAATAATATTGAATGTAAACTGTAATTGAAAATAGGCTACTTGAATTCTAAACTTGTCATATAGCACAGCATTTACATAATTAAATTATATTACTTTCATCTTCTTTGTATTATGTTTAGAACATTGTATTACTTTCTTTTTTAAAATTGAGTGCATAAAAAGCTTATAGCAACTATATTTCATTTCGGGACAAAAAAGGGATTATTACAATATATTTGTTATAAAAAAGAGTGTTGCATCTTACAAAGCTGAACATTGCAGCCCCAAATAATCTGCACCTACTCCCAACCCCTTATACCTGTCTGGCCTCGACTGCCGCCATTCTTCCCCTCGGTCACTATGCTCCATCCACACTGGCCTTCGTGGTTACTCATTGACAACTCCAGCTACAGGGCCTCTGTTCTTGCTGTGCCTTCTGACTGGAGTGTTCTTCCCCCAGGGAGCAACATGACTTACTCCCTCACATCCATCATGTTTCTGTTTGGTATCTTCTCAGTGAGGTGTTTCCTGACTGCTCAATATAAACTTGAATCTCTCTCTCTGGCTCTCCCTAACCCCTTCTTCCCACTTTAGTTTTCTCCACAGTACTAATCACCACCTGTTCTATCTATTGCTGAGTAACATATCACTCTACAACTCAGTGGCTTAAAACAACAATCTATGGCTATACTTCATGATTCCACGGGTTGTGTGGGTTCAGCTGGGGTGGTTCTTGCTTGGGGTCCCTTATATGGTTACAGACAAATGGCCCCAGGGACTGAAGTCATCTGCAGGCTCAACGGAGCTAGACGTCCAAGATGACTTCTTCAACCACAAGTCTAGTGCCTTCTCTGCGATGGCTAAAACAGCTGGGTGCTGGCCAGGAATCTTTGTCTTACTACTCAGCCTTCCCACATGACTCGTTTGGGCTAGCTCAGAGCATGGTGGTCTCATGGTAGTCAGAATTCTTACATGACACTGTTTCCTCCAGAACTCACATTCCAAAAGACCAAAGTCAGAAATTGTGTGTTTTTTTTTTTTTTTTATCCTCACCCGAGGACATTTTTCCATTTTTTTGTTCAGATAGAGTGGGAGGGAAAGAGAGGAAGAGAGAGAGAAACATCGATGTGAAAGGGACACATCGAGTGGCTGCCACCCGCACGACCCAACCAGGGCCGGGGACAAACTGCAACCAAGGTATGCACCTTGGCGGGAACTGAACCTGGGTCTCTCAGGACCGCAGGCCGATGCTCTAAACGCTGAGCCAAACCGGCCAGGGCAGAAATTGTGAGGTTTATGACCTAGCCAAAGAAGCTTCATTTCTACCCTTCTCTGTTGGTTACCAGAATCAGCCCAAATGAAGGGAGAGGACAAAAGGAGGGGATAAGTACTGGGAAGCAGAGTACACTAGTGAGCTATCTTTAGACTGTTACCACAATACCTAAAATACTTTTTTATTTTAAGTATTTCATTTACTGTACCTCCCTTTCTACAAGAATTTTAAAAAAAAAGAAGAATTACAGTAGGTAAGCGATATGCATCAATAATTCACCCTACATGCTCATTCCTCACCATGGGCCTCTCCTGTCCCCAAACTCCGACCACTTTAACTTTCTGGAAAGGGACCTGGGATGAATCTGGGTTATTTTGGAAGTAGAAAGTGAAAGACAAAGTTGGAGGCAAAAATCAAAGACAGAAATATCAAAAAGGGTCACAGACTGCTTACTTTTGCCTGGGGACAGCCCTGATCGCTGCAGCTCCTGGTTTCTGCCTGCCAGAAAATTCCCCAGCACTCTTACAAAATACGAGCCAGATGTGACATTTAATAGTGCTATATAAATTATTCTGTATAATTACCCTTATAAAACCCAATTAAATGGTTATGTTGTCTACAATTTTATGTGTCAACTTTGCCTTCCAGATAAACAATTTCTTGAGAACCAGCTCATTTTAATTTTAAAAAACAATTTTTTTAATTCAAAATTCTCAGCATATGACACGATACAAATCTATGCATACTAGTGTAACAGAAAAAATGGAACTAGCTAATGAATTCTCCTAGTTGGTAGAGACAAAGCAGCTATGAATATGAGGTGAAAAGAGTGTCAGTCATGATCACCTCACTTTCTAAGCCCATGTCTACATTTGATGTCACACACTGACAGTTTTCTCTAGGGGAAGTAGCTTTCAATACCGACTGAAAGCACCTGGTAAGCTTTAAAACTCCCCCATGCCAGACTGCATCCCAGACCAATGAATCTGAATTTCTGGGGGCAGAGCCCAGGCATTCATAATTTTTTAATGTTCCTTGGTGAATTCAATATGCAGTTGAGACTCAGAATCATTGCCTTAAACTCTCTCTTCTCCTTTATCCCAACAGTATCTTCTAAACTAGTAGTGGGGAAACAAATAAAATGAAAAACAAAAAAAGTTAATTTATTCCAAAGAAGGCAAAAAAAGGGAGGGGATATTTTAAAAGAAACAAAAAGACAAAAGGCACAAAACAGGATGGTTAAAAAATCAAAATGCATAAGCAATCACAATAAACATTAGTAGACTAGATAAAAAGTAAAGAGGGCAACGATTATGTGATTACATTTAAAAAAAAAAAATCTGAGCTGCATGCTGTTTCCAAGATACACACTTAAAACAAGACAAAAAAGGATGAGAGCAAAAAGATGGATGACATTAAAAATCCCAAGTCAAATAAATACTGTTCAAAACCAAGTTAGTATGGTTCAATTAATATCAAACAAAGTAGACCATAAAGGAAAAAGCTGTGCTTGAAAAAAAAAAAAAAGACCACTATAACATTAAAGGTTGACTGATCAAAAAGTGATTTGAAAGTTGTATCTATCCAATAACATAGCCTGAAAAATATATAAAACAGTGAGAAAAAATTTGAAAAACATACCCAAGAATTTTAACACACCAGTAAATGGCAGATAAAAAAGACTAGCCCTGGCCGGTTTGGCTCAGCGGTTAGAGCGTCGGCCTGCGGTCCCGAGAGACCCGGGTTCGGTTCCCGCTAAGGGCACGTACCTCGGTTGCAGTTTGTCCCTGGCCCTGGTTGGTCGTGCGGGTGGCAGCCACTCAATGTGTCCCTTCATGTCGATGTTTCTCTCTCTCTCTCTTCCTCTCTCTCCCTCCCACTCTATCTGAACAAAAAAAAATGTCCTCGGGTGAGGATAAAAAAAAAAAAAAAAAAAAAAAAAAAAAGACTAAATATCAGTAAACATACTACAGACTTGCATGTACAGTTTATAATCTTGTTCTAATACATATATTAAACATTGTACCCAATAACTAAAAATATACACTTATAATATAACAAAAACATACAGTATCTAGGAATAAATGTAACAAAGGTATTCATGATCTTTATAAAGGCAATTATTAAACTCCACTGAAAAACATTCAAGAACCCCTGAACATATGGACCATGTGCAAGGATAGGAACACTCAAAACCATAAAGATACAAGATTTTCTAAATTGACCTACAGAATCAATGTTATTCCAATTAAAGACCAAATAGAGTTTTTTAAAGCTTATCAAGATATAATTCATAAGTTTACATGAAAGAGAAAAGAATCAAGAATAGTCACGAAACTCTATAAATTAGGTCAAAAGATTTACCTTACTATATACTAAGACTTATCAAAGAGCTACAGCAATTGAGAGAGTGAGGTGTTGGCACAGGGATATTCTGATAAAGCAAAAGAATAAAACAGAGTGCACAGAAATAGACACACACATATATAAACTTGATTTATGACAGCTGACAATTGTGATTACAGGAAGAAAAATGAGTTATTCAATAAATTGTACTGAAATAATTAGTTATCTATTTGAAAAAAAATCGGACTCTTACATTATACTCAAAACTCAACTCCACGTAGATACAGGACATAAACTATAAAACTTTTAGGAGACAATATAGAAAGGACTTCTTAAACAAGATAGAAAAGCACAAACCATAAAGAAAAAGGCTGAAACTTGACTACATTAAAAATAAGAACTCCGTTTATCAAAAGACAGTATAAAGAGAAAAAGCAAGCCACAAACTGGGAGAAAACATCAGCAACAATATACTCAACAAAGAATTAATATTTTCCAGAATATAAAAACACTGATATGTAAAGACAACACATTGGAAATTTTATAGAAGAGAAAATGAGTGGCCAATAACCATAAGAAAATATTCCAATCTCAACAGTTATTAGAGAAAAGCAAATTAAAATCACATAAAGCTGAGCACTGTTTATGCCTGGTTTTCTCTAACGCTGAGATGGCATCCCCGGGCCACAACCTCCTCTCTGAAGATTGTAGGGTTGCTATTAATCACGTGGCATCTTATGAGCTGCACATCAGTGAGGCTTATTTATCTCTGGCTTGTTATTACAACGAAGACACGGGAGCACCTCTTTTTGCCGCATTCTTTGAAGACCAAGCTGAGGTGAATAGGGAACATGCAAAGCAGTTCCTAAGATATCTAAGAAAGTGTGATAGTAAAATCTGCCTTCTGGTGATGAAGAGGCCTGACACAAATAACTGGGGAACTGGAGTACAGTACAAACTCTGGAGTCTGCTCTGGGGTTTAGAGAACAAGTTAACCAACCTCCTGCTAGACCTGAAGACCATGGCTTCTGCCAACGAGGAAACTGATCTCTTACACTTCATGGGAAAGTTCCTGGACAAACAGAAGAGGAACACGAGCTACCTGGAACACCAGCTTGTATATCATAAAGGATTAGAAAAGCAGGCCCAGGAGGAAGACCTGTTTAAAAAGCCTGCTCAAGTGTCAGGTAAACAGACGTAACATCTGAAAGTAACAAAGAAGGTATTCCCATTGTAGTAGGTCCCAGCTACTTAAGAATCTTAATATTCTCCACTTGACAGAAGACGGCTCTCCTTCATTAGAGTGTGTATTAAATAAATCTGTCTTTGCATTATATATATAAAAAAATCACATAAAGCCCTCCTGGTTTGCTGAGTGGTTAGAGCCCTGTCCCAAGGACCAAAGGTTCTCAGGTTCAGTTCCTGGTCAAGGGCACTCATCTGGGTTACAGGTTTGATCCCTGGCCCTGGTTGGGGTCCTGCGGGAGGTAACCAATCCATGTGTCTCTCTTACATTGGTCTCTCTCTCCTCCCCCACCCCCTCCTTTCCACTCTATCTAAAAATCAATTAAAAAAAACCTTGGATGAGTAGTAACAATAAAAACAACAAAAATCACAAAGATCTCATTTTATATCCATGAGACTGGAAAAAATTTAAGACTGAAAATATCAGATGTTGGCAAAGATGTAGAACAGCACACCCTGCTGGTGAAAGTTCAAATTCATTATTCCCTTTGTGTAAAAATTTGGATTTATCTAGCAAAGCTGAGGCTGTGAACATGCACTTCTACTATTCTGTATATGCCCTTGAAGGCACATTTGTATCATCTGGAGACACATTTGTATCATCTTTTTTTATTATTGTTGTTGATATTTAGAGAGAGGAAGGGAGAGAAAATGGGAGGGGGAGAGGTAGGGAGGGGGAGGGAATAGAGGTGGGGGGAGAGAGACATGGATGTGAGAATCATCCATCGGCTGCCTCCTGCACGTGCCCCGACTGGGGATCGAACCCACCACCGTTTGGTGGATGGTATAGATGGGGAAGGCACAAAGTGGGGAATCAAAGGTACTAATGTTCATTTTCAGTTGAGTGGTGGGTACAGGTATATGCATTACACTGTCTATAAAGCTTACATTATTTGATATCTATACAATATTTATAAAAATAATTATTACTAATAGTTTATACAAAAAAAGATAGTGCTCAGTTCTTGCCAATAGAGGGCTAACAGTAAATGTTATTTTCCTTCCCCCAGGAAGAACAAAGTTGCCTTAGAAGAGAGGCTAAAAGCAATGACAAGGGTGTTTTACTTTACTTCAGTGTGGTGTTCATTCTTAACAGCTGTCTGTGACCTAATAAAAAGAGTCTTCTTTAACCTGAGAACTGTAGTCAAAATATTGTTATCATCTCTCAAGAGCCAACTTCAGCAGTGTGGTGTGTACAAACAGCATTTACTGTGTAGTCAAAGAGATCTTGTCTAAACTATAACTGTCTCCTTCTGTGTGGCTTTTGATAACAGAAGTTTCCTAATTTTATTCAACAAATATGTATGGAGGTCCTACCATGGGTATTATGTAACAATGTACAAGAAACAATGTTTCTGCCCTCCTGAAGACAAATTCCTACTTCAAAGGGTTGCTGAAAAGATTATGTAATATATAAATGAATTTGACATGGTGCCTGAAATGTACTTGGTATTCAATAAATATTAAGCCCTGACTGGGTGGCTCAGTTGGTTGGAACATCATCCCATACACCAAAATGTTGCAGGTTTGATTCCAAATCAGGGCACATAGCTAGGTTTTGGGTTCAATCCCCAGTCGGGGCATATACAGAAAGGAGGCAACTGATCAATGTTTCTCACATCAATGTTTCCGCCTCCCTATCCTGCCCCCCCCCCTCCGGCTCTCTCCCTCCCTTCCTCTCTCTAAAAAAATCAATTAAAAAGCAAACAAAAAACAAAAAACAAATCCGCCCTGGCCGGTTTTCTCAGTGGTTAGAGCATCGGCCTGTGGTCCAGAGAGACCAGGTTCGATTCCCGCTAAGGGCACGAACCTCGGTTGCAGTTTGCCCCGGCCCTGGTTGGGTCGTGCGGGTGGCAGCCACTCGATGTGTCTCTTTCACGTTGATGTTTCTCTCTCTCCTTCCCACTCTATCTGAACAAAATATGGAAAAAGTGTCCTCAGGTGAGGATAAAAAACCAAACAAAAAAACCCCAAAACAATAACAACAACAACAAAAAAATTGAATCCTTGTGAGAATTTAAAAAAAAAAATTAAATAAACAATATTAAGTATTGCTATTTCTTTTTCCTGCTTGGATTACTTAAAGCTTATAAGATGGACTATTCCTTAGAGAAACCCCATCTAGTAGTCTAACTCACAAAAAATCAGTGAAATAACATAAATGACAGTCAAGTGCTATACAAATACTAGTGGACTTAACGTACTTTGTAAAAGTTGGATGTTCTTATTAGTCTGATCTATCCTCAGGTTAAAATATTGGCATCGGGCCCTGGCCGGTTTGGCTCAGTGGTTAGAGCATTGGCCCCCAGACCAGAATCGTGGGTTTGATTCCTGTCAAGGGCATGACTCTCGGTTACGGTTCAATCCCCAGCCCTGGTTGGGGTCATGTGAGAGGCAACCAGTTGATGTGTCTCTCTCACATTGATGTTTCTCTCTTCCCCACCCCCTCATCTGAAAATCAATGGAAAAATATCCTCAGGTGAGGATTAAAAAAAAAAAATTACTGGCATCTGAATCAAATGAAAACTATTTTAAAATTATGAACCTAAACATAATTGGGTTTAGATTACACAGGATTTTTAAATATTCTTAATGATTTGACTTAAAATATATCTGTATAATATTTGCAATTTGCTTTTCATATGGCTTTCACATTCACATTATTTTAGTGTATGATCCTAGTTACATAATACTTTAATTTTTATTTCTTTTTAAATTAAGTTTATTGGGGTAACATTGGTTGATCATATAGGTTTCAAGTATACATTTTTCCATGATACATGATCTGTATGGTGCATTGTGTGCCCACCACCCCAAGTCAAACCATCTCCCATCACCATATATTAGGCCCCCTTTACCTTTTACTGCCCCCCCATCCCCTTCCCTCTGGTAACCACCTTACTGTTGTCTGTGTCTATGAGTTTTAGTTTTATATCCCACATATGAGTGAAATCATTTGGTTCTTAGCTTTTTCTGCCTGACTTATTTCACTTAGCACAATGGTCTCAAGGTCCACCCATGTTGTTGCAAATGGCACTATCTCATCTCTTCTTATGGCTGAGTAGTATTCCATTGTGTATATATGTACCACATTTTCTTTATCCAATCCTCTATCGAAGGACACTCTGGCTGTCTCCATGTCTCGGCCCCTCTGAGGACCTGAACAGACACCTCTCCCAAGAAGACATACAAATGGCCAATATATATATGAAAAGATAATCAACTTCAGTAGCTATTGGAGAAATGCAAATCAAATTCACACTATTTTGGTGGCATTTATTATTGTAGAATTTTGTTTTTCCATTTAAAAATATCTTGCAAATTCATGCTGCCGAGAGGCAGAACGGAAATAACTTTGTAAGTCAAATAGCACTAGCACAGGACTTTTAACAAAAAAGGCAGCTTACCAAATATTTATAGGATGAATCAAATAGTGCCATTTTAGTCTAGTGTGTGTCTGATGGGGATCAGACCATTTTAAGAATACACTCCATTTGGCGGATGCCAGAGGGTGGAAGGAATAGCTCAGTCTTCTGAACAGGAAGCAGCAGCAGCAGGCTGTATCAGTTCAGAATCTACGGGAATTTTTTTTTCTTATCATGGTGTTAATTCACCAGATCCTCACTTCACAATAGAAGTGGCAAAAACACAACCTGAGTGAGAGCACAGCGGCTTCCCGGTCAGTCCTCTTCTCAGTGCCCCTGGAAGCAGACTTGCTTCTCTTTACATAGCGTGGCACTTTCTTTTTGAATTGAAGAAGTAATACATCACGTTAAAGTTGGAGAAAGAGTTTAAAATTTTGGTAACACACTCTGACAGCTAATTCATAAGAAAGAGAACTCACACATATTGCTAACAGAAATAAAAGCTGGTATAAACTCTCTGGAGAGGAATAAGTACACGGTGACTGTCTATGGGAAAGAGCAGTGTAGCTATGAGTCTGGGGTGAGAGGAAACGGAATTCTGTAACTTCTGACTTGTGTATATTTTATATATATTTTATATATATATTTTTAATCCTCACTCGAGGATATCTTTCTATTTATCATCAGACAGAGTGGGAGGGGGAGAGAGAGAGGGAGAGAGAGAAAAACATCAATGTGAGAGAGACACATTGATTGGTTGACTCCTGCATGACCCTGACCTGGGCCTACCAAACTGCAACTAAGGTACATGCCCTTGACTAGAACTGAACCCAGGATTCATTGGTCCACGGGCCAACACTCTAACCGCTGAGCCAAACTGGCCAAGGTTATATTATTTAAAAAAAATTTTTTTTCTTTATTGGTTTAGAGAGAGAGGAAGGGAGAGAGAGATAAAAACATCAATGAGCGAGAACATCGACTGGCTGCCTCCTGCATGCCCCCCATGGGGGATTGGGCCCACAACCTGGGCATGTGTCCTGACCGGGAATCGAACCAGTGACCTCTTGGTGCATGGGTCAATGCTCAACGGAGTGGCTATTATCTTTTTTTTGTAAGTAACACATACATATGATCAAAAATTCAAAGAATACAGAACAGTAGGCCCTATGCCCAGGGGCAAACATTATTGTTGAGTCTCTTATCTATCTTCCTAAATATGCCCTAGGCATTTTTCACATGCAGAAACAGGACCTTAACTAGAGCAAAAGACATTCTCACAGAAAAGAAAATAACAAGTCTTAAGGCTGAAAGTTCTGCAAACAAAAGAGCCCACAGAAAATAATAATCAACATGTACCCAAATGTTCCACCTATAATAGGTAGCATGGATGACAGTCTTTCCCCTAAGGAGCTTACAATCTAGATGAGAAAACAAAATTGATGTCAAAAAACCATTCAAGAACAAGTGAATATTAAAACAGGCTACAGCAACTGAGCACAGTGCAAGAGCCGGAAGAAGGAAAATATTAACATAAGCAGAAAAAGAATTTTTGTTTTAATCCTCACCTGAGGATATTTTTCTATTTATCTTC